GTTTATGCAGGCTAACTTTGCTTGTTTTCTCCTGTTGTGGATGAAAACAGGATAGTGTATGAGTGGTTTTGCTTTGCCGACAAACTTCATCGAGAATCTGGAGTCATTGCTAAGGAAGCCCCATCGTCGTCTCATGCTTCCCGAAGCCACTTTGCCAGCAAACGAACCTCTCGCCTCCGCACCATCTCCAACTATCACTATGGCCCAAAAGACCCTCCGCGAGTTCTCCATCCCCGCCGTTGCTAACGTGCTCATTGGGCCCGCTATTAACGTTGGTGACAAGAACTTTGAATTCTGTACTAGGCTGATCACGATGGTGCAGGCAAACCCATTCTGTGGTTTGCTTAGCGAGGATGCGAATGCCCACCTCCAACACTTCCTGGAGCTGTGTGATGCCGTCGTTAGGAAGGACGTCACACCAGAGATCATAAGGCTCCGTCTATTTCCCTTCTCCCTCGTGGGGAAGGCGAAGCAGTGGTTTTACAAAGACCAGGAAGCTGTCAACACATGGGCAAAATGCTCCACGACATTCATCGCCATGTTCTTCCACATGGGCAAAACCAACGCCCTGAGGGGAAGAATTTCAAACTTCCAGCAGAATGCAATGGAATCCATCCCCGAAGCATGGGAGAGGTTGTAAGAATACATCCTTGCCTGCCCGCACCACGGGATGGAGAATTGGCTAATCCTCCAAAATTTCTACAATGGGTTAACACCCATGTCAAGAGGACACATGGATGCCGCTGCTGGAGGGGCTTTTCTCTCGCTCACCATAAATGGAGCTACAGCTCTCATCGACAAAATGGTGTCAAATCAACGGTGGAGCGACAAGAGGCTCCAAAATAAATAACAAAAAGACATGCATACCGTAAAGGAGACGGACATGCTTACCGCAAAACTTGATCTATTAATGAAAAGACTTGATGAACGTGCCCATGAGAAGGAAGCAATGTATGGCACCGTCAAGGTCATGGACTCGCATATGACATGCGAGGTCTGTAGTGAAGTTGGACACTCGGGGAACGACTGCCTCGAGACCCATGAAAGATGCTGCTTACATCAACAACAGATTCTGTCCACAAGGAGGAAATAATAGGTGGAACAACCAGTCGCACCAACAATACCAATGAGGTAATTCTAATTCCAACTCAAATTACAATTCAAACTATAATTTGAATCAACCCTCCTTGAAAGATTTAGTATTAGGGCAAGCTAAAATTAATGAAAAACTCACTAAGAAACTTACCTATAATGATAAAATATTTGAAAATATAAATTCTAAAATTGAAAGTTTAACTCCTCAGTTAAGAATCAATTAAGTTTTAATAAAATGATAGAAACACAACTTGCACAAATAACTGCTGCTATTCCTGTTAACAATTAGGGGAGAATCCCGGGGCAACCCGAGAATTTACTCGAAAAAGTAAATGCAGCAGATGCAGATAATAATTGAAGGAGAAGAGTCCCGCTCAACGGACTATAAAGGTGAGCCATTGCCGATGGTAAATCGGTAGTTATCTCATGTTTGATTTCCAAATGTATTTTCAATTTTCATATTGCATGTTAAAATTCTTCCATATGCATCAAAAATTTTAACTTTTTAGTTATTAAAATTTCTTTCTAAAAATAATAATAATAAAAAATAATAATAATTTTGAGAATTTAATCTTTTTTCAACCTACTTAGAAAATTCTTAAAAATTCATTTCTTGAATAATAAATTTTTTCTATAATCATTTTTTTTACAAAATATTCATAAAAATTCAAAAATCAATAAAACTTTTGTGGAAAATCAAAATGGAGCAAGTTTGAGTTTGAAACCCGGCCAAACCCTAGAGTAGCCGTTGGGAGCCACCTGCCAAAGGGGAGCAGCAGTGGGCCCACCTGGGGGTGGCCGCACCAGCTCTAGCGCCACACGCGCTCAACTGCCTCCAACGGATCCTAGCCAGTACCCACGCTCCCCCTTGGTCGGTTTGGCGCTCGACTATAAATAGGAGGCAGGGGTGTGAGCCTCTCACTCACACTTCATTCTCCACATTTTCACTCTTGCTCTCATACATTCTTTTAAGCATTTTCCACAAAGTCTAGAGCAAGGAACCTCTGTCAAAATTCATAGCCCAAGCTAGCCAACCAAAGTTCTCGAGTTCAACGATTTTTATTGTGTTGACATCACCCGAGCCCGAGTTTTTGCTTGCTGTTCGTGTTGTTTTGTTTCCACCATGGGTAGGTTCGGGAAGAAGCTTGCCAGTGCACTCAAGAAGGTCACGAGATCTAGCTCAAGTCGCTCCCGAGGAAGTTCAATGTTGTACCCAGTTTTAAAAACAAAACTGAGTACTAACTATATGTGTGCCCAGGAAGTCAAATCACACAGATAGCGACAAATTACAATAGTATCAAGAGACAATGCTTCATTATATAACGAACAACAATATTACATAGAGACAAGATATTTATTGGAGTAGCGGAAATACACATTCTAATCTTCAAGTGAAGCCTCTAGAACCACAGGGACGGTTGACTAGGGGTAACATACACCTAGCACTCCTCAAAACCTTTAACCAAGCTCCATCTTCTGTTACCCATCCAAGATTTTTATCCAAGTAGAATGTAAAGACAAGCGTAAGTACATCTCGTACTCAACAAGAATAACATGGGGTTCACGAGGCTCAAAAGGTAGACACTGGTTTAACTGCGGTTAGCTTTTATGAGTCACAATTTTAGCATTAAGTAGCAACAAGTTATGCTTAAGCCCCAATTATACCACATGATCATAAATATGAGCAATAACCATCATCAACATAATCATCATTAAATTCATCATCATTAACATCATCATCAAGTGATCAACTATTTTGTCAGTTTTCCAGGCCGCTCGTGACTGCGAGCACGACTGATATACCAGTTTTACACTCTGCAGAGGTTGTACATCTTTACCCGTGAGTCGTGTTGCCCATATGCCCGGGTTAATTACTCCCAAAACACTTTCAAGGTGAGCAGGCATGGTACACTATGAAGCCTTTCAAAGGTTCGTCTAACAAGTTAGGGCCGCTAGGTTTCTGTGCCCTACAAATGTAGAGCCCCCTTTCCTAAGGCACATTCCGCACAGGCTATACTCTTAAGAACAGAGGCCGCACTACACCCAACCCGAAACACACCCTTCTTGCGCCAAAAAGGTAACCACTAACAACCTAGAAAAGGTCCTTCTACTGAACTAAAGCCAGAGCCAAGTAGCTCTCATGGTTGTACTGTAAGTCACGGATTTTGCTCACAGATAAGTCCTTAGGGAGGGCCAAGAGCATCATGTATAAAAGCCAAGAGCTCCCCGCCCTATGTCCAAGTTGCTAAAAAGCAAGTTTTATTAGTTATTGCATAAGGCCATTAGTCAATATTCAGATCATGTGTAATTAAATTGAGCGCTAGCAAATACTACCCATATGCAAGTTTCCCATCGGTGGCAAGGTACAAGATAACAAGAACTAGATCAATCCTTAGGGGTAACAAAATTAGACATATGCAATATGAATGATTAAAAGGTGTGTAGGTAGCAAGGATAGTCCCATGCTATACTTGCCTTTTACACTTGCTCAAACTTCCTTATATTTTGCTTCTGGTCATCCCCTTCTGATCTTCAGCGCTCACAAACAATTCCCGTTCTACTCGTAGCAAGCACCACGCATAGGCAACATACAAGCAACAAACAAAAAAACTAAGAGCAGTACACCACACAAGATGAAACAACATACTAAACGGTAACTAGTGCTACGGTCACCAGAACGCAAGAGACGCCAAAAATAGGCTACCAGGAGTTTGTATTATAAAATAAAAGCCTACATGCTTGATTTATTTTAATTGATAAAAACCATATGAATAACATTAACTCAGATTAGTCACATCATATTTTAATTCAAAATCAAGTTAGAACTAGTCATATGTTATTTATGAACATGTCTCATATTATTTAATCAAATGAAATTAAAATTTAACCTCGCAAAAGAAGAGTACATGTGAGCGCACCTAAACAAGTTTATCCCATGCAATAGGTTTGAACTAAGCAAATTATAATTTAGAAACATGTTTAGGCTAGCAATTCGTCATATTAATATTTATGTATAAAATACCGAAGTATAAAACCTATATTGATTTTAATTATAAAACTAGTTGCATGTATATAAATTAAATTAATATTTAACGATATATGGAAAAATAAGTGACATGAAAAACATTAGTATTATAGTGTAGAGCGCATCGACACGAATCTAACACAACATGAATGTACTAAAACGGTGGTAGAGATTAAAAGATGCAGTGGCAAACTTGTAATTACCATAATCTTCCTCTTTGGAATCGTGTGCAGAACGTACGTGGCCTTCGTGGCCATCAAGGGGAGCGGCTCTGCTGTGCTCGCTGGGGGAGGGAGGGGCCTCAGAGCTAGCTCCGGCCGGCCGGACGGGCGGCGCGGCTGTTAGCCAAATTGCTGCACAATAGTTTGTTTTGTTCTGAGTCATGCATCAACTAGCATAGGGGCAGAGCGTGATCGATGGCGTGCTTGATCATGACTTGGCCCGGTTTAGTTTGGTCACTTCGCGCCATGACGCGCACAGCGCACGCAGCGCACACCGCAGCGAAACGGCGTGGCACACTTTGTGCGGCATGGCGCGGGGAGGCTTGGTTGTTGCAAGCCCGTGATTGTAGCATGCATATGTGTATAAGAGCATCAATAACAGACCAAAGGCGAGCGCTTTTAGCCACCGAAAAATCTTTTTTTCTCGTGTGAGTTCGTTGCAAGCGTTTCCATCTGCTCGCACTCTCGCCGCGGTCACCGCGCCGTCGCTGGTGTTCACAATCCAAACTTGCTGTGGTGTTTGGTTCCATCAAGTGGTATCAGAGCCTTAAGCTGCCGGAGTTGGCGGGTCCGGAGGTGGAGAGAGGTTGTGGAGGAAGCAGGGTGGTCTGGTCTATCATATCCGAGGAGGTGAAGGCGTGAACCCTAACAACGCCGACATGGGTGATGCTAGTGGCAAGGACAAGGACATGATGGAGCGGGCGTGGAATCAGGCAGCCAGAAATTTGGTATGGCCTATGTTAACCCGCACCAATTACCAGGAGTGGTCCGCGCTTGTGCAATGCAATCTCGAAGGCATGTATCTGTTGGATGCAATCGAGTCCGACAAGGTGGAGTGGCGCCGGGATCGGCTCGCTCTGGGCGCCATGATCCGTGGCGTGCCTCAGGATATGCACTCCATGCTCTTGAACAAGAAGTTGGCGAAGGATGCATGGGAGGCAATCAAGTCGATGCGTCTCGGTGCAGAACGTGTGAAGGAGGTGAATGCACAGAGACTGCTGGCGGAATTCTAGTCGATCGATGATTTCACCATGCGCATCACCAGACTCGCCACTGATCTACGTGGTCTTGGCGAGGAAAGCGTGGATGACACGCGCATCGTGAAGAAGTTTCTCCCGGTCGTGCTGCCGCTCTACAACCAAGTGGCGGTGACGATCAAGATGTTCTGCGACATCAAGAAACTCTCCATCGAGGAGCTTGTGGGACGTCTGCGGGCGGCGGAAGATCGCTTCGAGCCATCGGTGGAGCAGGTGACGGAGAAGACTGGCCGACTCTTGTTGACGGAGGAGGAGTGGGCGGCCAGGAATAATAGCCATATCATGCCGAACACGTCTTCGTCGTCGGCAGAAAGAGTGGTGGGCGCTATGTGAAGAAAGGGAGATCTGGAGCGCGTGGCGGCAGTGGCGAAGCACGTGACTTTGGTGTGAAACTCACGTCGATGGGCACTCCACGACGGAAAGGCAAGTGCCGCAAATGTGGCATCTACGGGCACATCGCGAAGGAGTGCAAGACGAAGGAGATGAAAGAGGAGTGACAAGAGGCCGCTCACCATGTGAACACCGACACCGAATAGCCGGCGCTCATGCTGGCGCAGGTCTGCAATGTTCTGCGAACCACAAACTCCACTGCGCATCGGGTCTTCCTGCATCAGGAACATGTGTCCCCATCGAAGTACGATGAAGGCGCATGGGTCCTCGACACTGGCACCATGAATCACATGACTAGGTGCTGGGCGTCGCTGGCAACTCTAGATGAGACGGTGCGCGGCGCGGTGCGGTTTGGAGATGGATCCACGGTGGAGATCTGCGGGATCGGGGCTGTGACGATCGTCGGCAGGAATCAGGACCATCGTGTGCTCACTGAGGTATACTACATCCCATCCCTCAAATGTAATATCGTGAGTCTCGACCAATTGGAAGAAGCACTACTAGAAATCCTTTCATCTATGACGTTTTGGGTATGACGATCCCAAATTTGGTCACTGAAGAAGGTTCATCAATGACGAAATTTCGTTATTCGTCATGGATGACCGGTTTGGGCGTCAACCCCTTTGTTCAACTGTGACAAAGTAGAAGAAATCATCATAGAAATGTTGTGAACTTCGTCATAGAAGTGAAGCTTAGTAGTTTCACCGTTGAGGTCCCACCTGTCAGCCGAAATTTTCATCATAAAAGTGAAATTAAAAAAAATGTACGGTGCCTAGGAATCGAACCCAGGACCTGCACTTCCCAAGCAAGATGGCTTACCATCACACTACGAATTCAGACATGTTACAGAGTGGGAACATTAATTTATTATCTGTTTGAATAATTCATATATTAAAAAAATGTGCGGTGCCTAGGAATCGAACCCAGCACCCTTCACTCAGAGTCAAGCTGCCTTACCATCAGAACACGACTTTGGTCATGCTTAGAGATGAATTTTTTTTCTTATTCGTTTATTGAATCAGTTCTATGACTCAAACCCAATCCAATCGTGCTGCCCCCAGATCCAAACCCAACCCAAATCTGGCAGAGGGCGGGAGTAGGTTCTCCGTTGGCGGCGAGCCTCTCCGATGGCCAGCTCCGGCGAACTGCTCTAGCAGCCTAGCTGGTACGGGATGCGCTGACGGGCAACTGCTCTGGCGGTGTAGCGGGCTGCTCCGGCGAGCACCTGCTGTAGAGTAGGTTCTCCGCCGATGGCGTGCCTCTCGGGCATCTACGGCGAGCCTCTCCGGCGGACAGCTCCGGTGAACCGCTCTAGCAGCCTAGCTAGTACGGGATGCGCTGGCGGGCAGCTCCTCTGGCGGCATAGCGGGCTGCTCCGGCGGGCACCTGCTGCAGCGTAGCTGCTTCGGTGTGCTCTGGCGGCGTGCTAGGGTGGCTACTTCAGCTACTTAGAGGTATTGTCCCCTCCCATTGCTTGCAATTTGTAGAGCAGTAGATGTTTAGACAAGGATTGGTAGAACAGTTCATGGCTTTTGTTCAGCTACTTAGGCCTAATTTTTTTTGCATTCAGAAGATGGACAGAACATGGATTCGTGCTACTTGGTTCAGCGATGAGTTCACTGCAGGTGTTGATTAGTTTATGTCTTTTGTTCGAGATAGATTCAGACCGAATGATGCTATACGTTGCCCATGTCGCAATTGTCTGAATCAGTCTTCATGGAGTCTGAAAGATGTGCATGACCATGTTTATCTCCATGGATGGTCAGCTACATATACTCGGTGGGTACACCATGGAGAAGATTTTGATGTTGACATTGTGGAATTTGGAGAGGATGAAAATGTACCTGCCTATCTAGGTGATGTGGTAGATGTGGAGGAGCCCGACAATGAAGATGATCATGATTCGGTAGAGATGATTGCAGACTTGTACACAGCTATACAACAAGATGGAGAACAACCTATGTTTGTGAAAGTTCTTGAAGATGCAAACCATGCTCTTTGCCCGGGTTTAGTTCAGTCTAGGTTCTCTTTTCTAGTAAGATTGCTACATATCAAGTCATACTACAGGGTCAGCAACACAGCATTCAGTGCATTTTTGAAGTTATTGTCAGGGTCATTCCCTAATTGTTGTCTTCTAGATTCATATGACAAAGCAAAGAAGTATCTCAAAGAGTTGGGCCTTGGATATGAGTTAATCGATGTCTGTGACAATAACTGTGTGTTGTTTCACAAAGGACTTGAAAAACATGACATCTGTCCAAAATGCAAGGAATCTAGGTGGGTGGATGGAGATACTGCCAAACAGATTCCTAAAAAGATTTTGAGATATTTTCCTCTTATACCAAGGTTGAAGAGGATGTTTGCAAACAAAGCAACATCGTAGGAGACCCGGTGGCACAAGGATAAAAGGGTTACTGTGGAGAATGAAATGACCCATCCAGCTGATGGCTTAGCCTGGAAAGATTTTGATGCTGTGTTTCCAAGCTTTGCTAGAGATGCCAGAAACCTAAGGCTTGGTTTAGCAACAGATGGGTTTAATCCATTTGGAAACATGAACACAACTTATAGCATGTGGCCTGTACTTGTAAAGGTATACAATCTACCTCCATGGTCATGCACCGCTACATCCAACTGCATAATGGCATTGCTCATCCTAGGACCAAAGTCTCCAGGCAAGGACTTTGACGTATTCTTACAGCCTCTCATTGAGGAATTGTTAAAACTCTAGGAGGGAGTCAGTACATATGATGCATTCACTGGTGGGAAGTTTGACCTTCGTGCTGCAGTACTATGGTGCATCCATGATTATCCAGCTTTGGGTGTATTGTCAGGGCGAATCAGTAAAGGTTACTATGCATGTATCTATTGCAACAAAGATCCATTATCAAGGAGTCTTAGGAAGAAGATATGTTACATTGGACACCGTCGCTATCTTGATAAAACCCACAAGTGGAGAAGAAGCTTGGCCTTTGATGGACACCGAGAGAACCAGGGTGAGCCAGGAAAGTTGAGTATGCATGAGACATCGGAGTGTCTAGAGAAATTAAAAGATGTTACTCCTGGTAAGGCTGATGGTACCAAGAAAAGGAAGTGAGGAACGAAGGACAAGGAGCCAAAATTGTTTAGCCGAAGGTCCGCTCTATGGGACCTTCCTTATTGGAAATACCTGAAGCTGCCACATAATCTTGATGTGATGCATATAGAGAAGAATATATGTGATGCCCTTCTAGGCATAATACTCTGTCTTGAGAAGAATAAGGATACAGTTAATGCGAGACTTGATTTGCAGGATATGGGCATACATCCTGATTTGCATTTAGAAGAAGATGAAGACAATTCAGTTTCCATGCCAGCAGCATGGCATTCCATGGAAAAAGAAGAAAGGGTTGCATTTTGTGTATTTCTAAAAAGTATTCGATTTCCATATGGATATGCTTCCAACCTGACAAGATGCATTAGTTCAGATGGTTCCAAGGTGCAGGGCCTCAAAACCCATGATTGCCACATCCTTCTTCAAAGAATTTTAGCTATTGGTCTCTGGGGACTAGTGCACAAGGAAATATATGTAGCAGTTGTAGAGTTGGGTAAATTTTTCTAGGAGCTTTGCAGTAGGAAACTAAAGGTTGATAGATTGAAACGTCTAAAAGCAAGAAATCCCTGTGATACTTTGCAAGTTAGAGAAAATATTTCCTCCTGCTTTTTTTGATGTGATGGTCCACTTAGCTGTCCACCTTCCTGATGAAGCACTCCTAAGAGGTCCTGTCCAATATGGATGGATGTACCCAATCGAACGGCAAATGGGCACTTTGAAGGGGTGTGAGGAACAGGGCTAGACCTGAAGGGTCCATCACTGAGGCGTACATAGCTAATGAGGCCTTGACCTTTTGTTCAAGTTTCATGGAAGATGTTGTCACTAGATTTAATCGAGATGATGAAAAATGGCATCATGGAGCAACTGATGGTGACCTCCCTATATTCCAGCATGGTGTTAAACTCTTGGGGGCCAACAGGCAGACATATCTTGATGATAAAGAATTTCACAAGATTTGTTGGTATGTGCTAAACAATAGTGAGGAGGTAGAGCCATATTTGAGGTGAGTTTTGTTTCTAAATTATGTAAGTGTGCAGCAAAATGTGTGTGCACCTGACAAAGAAAGTTTAGGAGTGCAACAAACTATTTCTCAAGACATATTGTAAATTGTGTGTGCAGCAAGTTTAGAGGAGAGTTAGACAAAGAAGGTGGCCATGATGTTGAGAAGAGGCTATATGCAATATCATGTCCTCCTAACCTAAGAGTGAACTTATGGGCATCATGTAGTGTCAATGGTGTTCGATACAACACAGTCGACCGTGAAAGACAAAGGTAGACACAAAACAATGGTGTGCTGGTGGATGGAACACATAATGGATTGGCGACAGAATTTTATTGTTGATACTATCTTCGAGTATTTTAGTGACAACGATAGGGATCCCATGGAATGTAATGATGATGATTAGATTAGCTGTCATTTGTAGCTGTCTAAATCTGCGATGTTGATTGAGCACAAACAATTGTAACTGTGACTTTTTTTAGTACCTGTCTTTTC